TATTATATATATAATAGCTTAGTGTCTTCCTAGCATGGTTTTTTTGGATAATTTTGTTCCTAGGAAAACAAGTTTTTTGCCATAAAAATTTCATCTAAAGCTATATTCTAAAGCATTTTCCCCTTTGATTGTCAGTAACATCAGTTTCATCAGTTTTAGGGTTTAAAACAATTTTCCCAAAACCTGATGCCCTCCAGACATGTTGGAATACATTTCCAATAAAATAACTTGAATTATGGGAAATGTAACATAACTGAATAGTACTAGGTTGGAAAAGACTGCTTAAAATATCCAATTGTTACTAAGTAATGGCTTTAAAAATATTTAAATGGCATTTCAGTCGTGTTGAATAACATTTTTGTTTATCATTTCAGCTATGAAGTCTTACATTCCATTTTTCATTCTTCTGTGGAGTGCTGTTGGAATTTCAAAGGCTGCCAAAATAGTTATTGTGCCGCCAATTTTGTTTGAAAGCCATCTATATATTTTCAAGACCCTGGCTTCAGCCTTGTATGAACATGGCCACCAGACTGTTCTGCTTCTGTCTGAGGGCAGAGAAATCCCTCCATCAAGTCATTACAGACTACAGCGATACCCAGGGCTCTTTAATACAACCACCTCAGATGAATTTCTTCATTCCAAAATGAGGAGTATCTTTTCTGGAAGACAAACGGCGTTGGAGCTGTTTGATATTCTGGATCACTATTCCAAGAATTGTGACATGGTTATGGGCAACAAGAAGCTCCTGCATGCCCTGAAACAGGAAAAATTTGATCTGCTACTAGTAGATCCTAATGAGATGTGTGGATTTGTTCTTGCCCATCTTTTAGGGATTAAATATGCTGTTTTTTCCACTGGCCTTTGGTATCCTGCAGAAGTAGGTGCACCTGCACCATTAGCATATGTCCCTGAATTTAATTCACTTCTCACAGACCACATGAACTTCCTAGAAAGATTTAAGAACACTATTGTTTATCTGGTTTCAAGATTTGGAGTCAATTTTTTGATTCTGCCAAAATATGAAAGGATAATACAGAAGTATAGTGTACAGCCAGCAAGGTCCATGTATGAATTGGTTCATGAATCCAGCCTGTGGATGCTATGTACTGATGTAGCACTGGAGTTTCCAAGACCTACACTACCAAATGTTGTTTACGTGGGAGGAATCCTGACCAAACCAGCCAGTCCTCTACCAGAAGTAAGGTTTGCTAAATTTTGTTGTTATGAAAGATTGTACAACTATATGTGAATAGTTTGCATGCTTACTTATTCCTAAGATTGGGTTGTTAGCATGCTACTTTATTTTGTTTCTTACACGTTCCTTCCTTCCTCTGTGGTCCTCTTGTAAAAACAGCTCCAGAGAATTTGTGGGAGTGCTTTTGATTTGGAAGGAGATGACATGCAAGACATCAAGAAACTAATGAATAGAATTTTTAAGTTTTAAATTATCCAACCAGCTGTTTGTCACATTTGCATATGAAATCAAGAAACATAGAATTCCAGTGTAACAGTGGTGGGTTGCAAGCGGTATGCCCCGGTACGGGCGTACCGATGCCTGCCCAGAGCACTGGGTTCTGGTACGGTGCTCCAGAGAACCGCCCACCCGCCTGAGCTCCTTACCCGTATTTGAATTATTCGGTGCTTCTGCGCACGCGCACAGAGCACACAGCACCTGTGCGATGCTCCTCCGAGCAGCTGGAGTGTCGTGGAGGAATCACAAGAGGTAAGTATGCATGCGCGTGCTGCACGCGTTCATGTGGTGCACACTGGGCCCCGTTGCAACCGTACCGGAACCCACCACTGCAGTGTAGTAATCAACACCGGATAGTTCACACTGTTTGATACTTTAATAATTGTTATTTCAGTAAATTTAAAAAACAGAAGAGCTTCAAGCCAAGTTAATAAAAATTGGTTTTCATTAAATTTGTAAAAGAGAAATTTAAGATTGCTTAAATATATGCTATACCTATTTGTGATTAAGACAAATAATTTGTCTTAAAATAGTGCAGTAAGTTTTAATTTGAATGATATAAGTCACAAGGATTTGTTTGCTTTCTTTTGAACCTGAATGTTTTTGTGTGATTCAGTAAAAGATCTTATATTTTTAAAATGTATGAGTCACATAAAACATTGAAACATTGTTTGTAGTTGTATTAGTGTATGCTTTTTAAATTATAATTTTACTGTACTTTTTTAAAAAGTACATTAAAATTTTAGTCAAAAGGTGCAAACAAGCATTTTCTTAATCACCTTTTAGAGATAAATAGTTACATAACATAAAAATAGTTTTTAATAAACTCCAGAAAATTCTGACAATTATATCAGTGCAGTCTTGCTCTTTAGCAGTTATCCATCATAACTTTCTTGCCTTTTTTTTAAACTACCTGTTTTCTGCATTTAACCCACTTGCAAACATTTTCTCTTTCATCCCTTGTGAATAGCAGCTGTCGATGTGCTCGGTCTTCATTGTTCAGGTGCTGAATGGGGAAAGAGAAATAAATACCTCAATCCCCCTACTTTAGCAGCCTTACTACTGAACATTCTGATATTTCTTTTTTCATTCTGAAAGTGGTGAGGGGTCCAAATTATAATAAGTAAATATGAGAATCTTAAACTAAAGAAAAATATCACAATTTAAATAAATTAAACTCTGCTTTTAAATCTGGTAATGTGGAGCATATGAATATAAGGAAAAACAGTTTGGAAAGATTAAAAAATGCAAACTCCATTGAATTGATGTTTCAATGTAAATTAGTACTTATTTAAAGATTATACATTTTCTAAATTTAGGGGTCAATATTTTTTCAGCTTTTCAGTTTTATTTTTTAAATGTCTTTCTTTCTTTAAAACTGACAGAGGATTATGAGAGAATGATACAGTGATTGCAAAAATAAACCCAAAATCTTCAAAATTAGAGGGATTTAGACTGCAAATTGAGCTAAAGGATTCATGTGGCTTGCAGATCACCTATGTTTTGTTTAATAATAAAACAAATAACTCTAAACTACAGTATTTTCAGTAAGGTTTATGCATACTTGTAATAGTTGACTTATTTTACTAAGCTGAGTTTAAACCTATGGAACCAAGGGAAGCAGGACTTTGTCAAATTAAATTTGTCAGAATATTCTTTTTTGCTAACTTTTTGTGAGAATGAATTTTATGAGATGATTCTCCCACATCCTGGTCAGATCTGAATTTGGGAAAAGTCTAATATTAATTTCAAATCTAGTATAAGGGGATCTGCCATGTATTCATTTCTTTTTATCATTACAAGTTATTAATATGGATGAATATATAAAAGCATTTTAAAAATCACCGAAAAGCCAGCCCTGATTGAATCACATAGGTGTGTGTGTCTGTGTGTGTGTATGCTATCATATAATCCATGCGTTATGTTCTTAGCCAGGGAAGTTGAATCACAAATGAGGCCTGTAAACACACAGAATTCATACTCCTGCATGTCTTAGAAACACCTTCCCTCTCCAAGGGAACATAGTTATGATAGCCATTTCCTTCAGCCCTAATGAATCTGTTGGGCAATTCCAAAATACTGACATTTCAACATGATGCAAAGGGATAGGGTTACTTGAGAAATTTTCATCGATAGCACAGCGAGAGAATGAACAGAATACTAGCAAATATAACAAATTTCATGAGTCAGGCAAGACTTGAGTAAAAATGGAGAATAAAATTGTAAAGTCTCTATATTTGCCTGCCTGCAATGTGCATTCATCCTCCTTAACTGAGCATACTGTGCTTCTGGGGGAGAAAACTGTTTATTAAGGAGATATTTTTTCTTTCCTTTTCCTTGTTTTCTTTGCATAAAACCCAAGTTTTTAAAAAGTGACATTTGTAAGACGCTGTTTTCTTCAGCACCAAACTGGAAGTGATAGAAAGCATTACCTAGCTATAGAAGAAAAACAACGGTTGCCTGTTTACATTTTTACCTAAAGTTAACAATAAAATTATATATTTACACAAAATCCTTCTGTGAAAATCTTACTCAAGCAACAAATGGTTTGAGTAAAGTTCAGTGATGAACACAAAAACTGCACTTTGTTACTAGGGCAGTAAAAATTTCTGGACACGTGGATTGCTATTCTGTCAGTGAAAAATTTCCAAACTGGGACTCAGATAATATTGAGCTTCAGATAGCCATCCAGCAGCCCTGTTCCAGGTGGCCAAGTCCCTCCTGGATAATTTAGCGGATCTCTTAAAGGAGACTCTGAGGAAAAGACAGACCCAATTTTGGTAAGAGACAGATCCCTTCAGAGGCAAATTTACCTCTGTGACAACCCTCATAGTTTCTGTGGGTGGTTATTTATTATACTGTGTAGTAATTAGTAAAACTGTAGTAATGTCATGAAGAAATACTGCTTTTTCAGAATATAGGAAAAACAAAGAAAACTTAGAACCAAAGAGAAATTTCCTGACAGAACAATCAGTGGAACGACTTGNTTGTTGGGGGCAATATGCTGACTCTCTGTAAACCGCTTAGAGAGGGCTGAAAGCCCTATGAAGCGGTATATAAGTCTACTGCTATTGCTATGTAACCCAAAAAATGTCTATGTAGCCAATAAAAAAGTATTTGTGCTCCAGTGCAAAAAATGTAACAGCTAAAATAAAGAATTGACAAGTTTTTTGTCAAGAACTTGTCGATCCCACATTACATGCCATCGAGCATTAACACTGTAAAAAAGTTATGTAAGACTGTTTTGAACACTTTCAATGAAAATATTGTTTGCCTTACATTTTTAACCTAAAAAAAACCATTCATCCTATCATTTTGGGTCCCATTGGGTTGAAAACCACTCTTGCAGCTTCCATCCAATTTCTCCAGAAATTGCCTAGCACTTAATTGAATGAAAGATAATTGATTAACTTGAATTAATCAACTCTTTAAAGAAGCAGCAATGGTTTTTCTACCTCTAGTGGAAACCTGAAAAGGGGCTCATCTAAAGGAATGGAAGTGCTGTGTTCATGAAGCCTAAATCATTTATAAATCATGTTTAAGTTAGACACAGACTTACTAAGTAAGCAAAACCTTACTGGGCTTGAGTATCCCTACAACATAAACTAGTCCATTTTAGTCTAAATATACTCCCTTGAGCTAATTCACCACCCATTTACCCACATAAATTTATTACAAGACCTTCTAAGAAGAACTAAATTAATTGTGGTAAAATATAAAAATATTAAAAGTGAATTAAATTTGAACATGGAGGGTGGTATGTTAGAGGAGTTGTTGGAAATGTGAAAAAATGCACGAGCAACATTAAAGGGTAACAAAGAGGTAGAAAAGGAACCAGAAAAATGGTTGAAAGTGGAGACAGGAGGGGAACAGATGAGCAATGTAAATGAACAAGGAATTAACAAGGTAGAAATGGAAAATAAAACTCTATGGGGTAAAGGCACAAAGAGAGCAGAGAGGAAACGACATCCGAAAAAGAAATTAGCCAAAAATAAAGAGAGAAATAAAGGGAGATGGGAGAGAGAAACTTGGGGGCGGGGAGATACTCAAAAAATCTGTTGAAAAGTGAAAGCAAAGATATAAAAGAAAAGATATGACACATAAAAAGAAGAAAAAGAAAAAAGAAAATTTAGAAATAGAAGAATAATAAAATGATATGATCCAGTAGAAAGAAATATTGTTTACAAGGTAAGAATATATTTTAATTAGAATGTGTGGGAATTATATTAAGAACCTTAAAGCTGTGATATAATTATGTTATGTTAATTATGTAAAACTTGAAATTTGAAACTTGAAGATTCATATTGTAAATAGAAAATAGATGGAAAAGAAATGATAAATTGTTTATTTTTAAAGTGAGAGAAAAATTATGTTGTTTGTACATGTTAAAAAACTAGAAATTGGAAAATAAGAGAAGAAAAGCAATAGGGCTAAAATTGGAAATAATGGAAATATAATGTAAAATTAATTATGTCTTTTGGTGGAAATGTTAAAGGGGAATTCGGACAGCACTCTGTTCACAAAATAATTTTTATTATGTAACAAAAATAAATAAATAAAAACTTTTAAAAAATTAAAAAAAATTAAAAATGTATTACAAGACCAGAGCTACATGGATCTTTCTATGTTGATTCCTTAGCAGCAAAGGTCTGTGGGCATCCAAAAGTTTCTCACCTCTCTCAACATCTCAACATAGCTACATTAGGTTCCCCATCCCTGGATTAGTCCAGCTTCAGAGATAGACCCTCAAACACAAATCAGCATTCATAGTCATACCAGGGTTTCAATGTGGCTTTTATTTCCTATCTTCTTCATTTGTTAATGAAGATTCTTTACTTTCATGCTTGGGGGTAGAGTTGCTGCTGGCAATATTTTATGTTCACCCATTAGTTTATTTTTTAGGACTAAGAAAATATAGTTCTGTGATATAAATTATTTATAAATACGAGAACAAAGGCCGGCTGTCAGGAAGGCTGGTTCTTTGAGAAAACATGGGGTGGGGGAAGAGCTATGGATGTATAAAGAGTACAGTTTTAAAAATCAGAAAAGGGGTTTTTAAACCTCTAATTATTAACACTCATTGGCAGACAAAGACCTGAAAGGATAGGATTAGAGAGATCTGTTTACATCTGTCACAAACCAAAATCTCATTAATGCTTTATCAGTCTGTTAACCCAACTTTTTCTCTTATATTAAACTTGATATTACTTACGTTGGGGTGTTTTAAATATAAATTAAAAATAAAATACTAATAACACTGTAGTTTTGAGCACTTCAGACTGCAAGTTTCCTAATAAACCTGGAGGAAATGTTATAAATGTCACCAAAAATTTTAAAATGTGTGGTTTATATTGTGGTACATGCAAGGTATAAAACTCTACACTTGTCAAAATGAGTGGAAATGGTGCAAAAGCTGGACCATGCTCTTGGCCAACTCCTATTAATCCCAGCTGGTTTATATCGAAAAATAAAATCCAAGATCATTTTTGCAAACTATAACTTTTTTATTTTCTAAGAATTGGAGGATGTTGGTATGTTAGGTTTCTAAGCCATCATTTCTTGAAATAATCAAGCTTTTAGTATGTTGTTCAGTCAAAGTAATACATTTCAAAAGCTCACTGATTTCAATCCATGGAAACATGGAATTTTCACAAAGAAGTCAGAGAAGTTTAACTGTGTTTATTCAGAATAAAATTCCTCCGAGTTCTGTGGTGCAGGGTCATGGGGAAATATGTAATGGATCACAGCCTAAAATATGTCCCTTTAGCCAGATCGTGTCAATCATGTCCAGCCTTTACTATAAAAGGTTGTATAACTCACTCAATATTTCACCAGAGAGTCTAGCCCTTAAAATGTTTTTAAAAATTCTGAATGCTATCCATGCATGTCTGACCCCCAACCAAAAATCAATGTCTTCTTTTTAAATATTAGCTTGATCTTTGTGGCACTTTCTCTGTTTCCCTTCTTCGTCTCCGTTGCTGTTCGTGCTCCCCATTCCCTCTTCTTTCCTTCTGGGGTACAATCCAACAATTGGTAACATAGTCCAGCAATATGACACAAATAGTGCAGAGATAGTGCTACCACAGCTGGTAGCTCCTTGTTTTTAATCCATCATTTGGCAGGGAGAATTGGGAACAAGCAATAACAGTCACGCAATGCTAAACAATGAGGTTACACAAGAATTGTGCCCAACCTGGTGCCATCCTGGCTTGTCAAGCACTTTGGAAAGGAAGTCCAGGAACTGTCATGCCAACAAATCTAGAAGGCACCAGTTGGGGAAGTTTTCTATCAACTGAGTAAATAGGTATCCCTCTTGTAGCTAAGCCTCTTCTTCTCTGTTATTATTTATGTTATTTCAACATCCCATTTTCCTCTGAGAATTTAAAGCAGTGACATGAGATTTCTCTTCATTGCACTCTCCACCACAGTACTTGAGGGAACGTGGGATAAGTGACTGTAACTAGTTCAAAGTCACCCAATGTTCCCTGAGATTTCTGCAATTCTTTAGGCGGTGTTCCAGCTTGCTCTTCCATCAAGGATTTCTTCATCACATACATATTAATCCAGTGATAGAACTCCACCTCAGCATTTACTAATGCCTTGCAAGGATGCATTTATATCATTGGCATATTATTTTAATTGATGGCTGAGTAATAAAGTTATTACTCTTCCAATCAATGGATTAGGTTCACACAGCTCAAAACTGATTTTCCAACTAAACTTCCATTCTACCTACATGGTTAATTCTTCAAAGATCTCTGGATATTTAGTTCAATCTGGGATGAACTAATGTTATAAGGAAAAATGCACAATGTTTTTGGCACTGAGTGTTGTGTTTGGGCATTAAATGTTATATGGATAGGATAGAAACTCATTACCTGGAATTATCCTGGGCTGGACTAGACAAAACATAATTTCCTTATTTTAATTAACATTGAATATAGTTAATATGGTGATTCTTCTGTTATCTTTGATATTCTCAATCCTTCTAGCCTATAAAAAAATTACAATTTAAAAATCCTGGGAGCTGTGTCCAAGCTTTTTGGGAACCACATATAGCCTGTCATGTTCCAAGCTCTTGGGACCAGAAAACAGTAAGCCACATAGTTCATGAAATGCATTTAATGCAGGCTAGAAACTCAGCACAAAGTGAACTGTGGTTTAACTCAGTGCTACTCGCTGCTGCCTTCTATCTGATTTTAACAGGCTGGAACACCCCTCCCGCTGCTTCTGGATGCTCGGCAGCTGCAGCATCTCCACTGCTCCATCTGCATGCCCACAGTTGGATCCACCACTGTAGCTGATGGTCACATTTCTATGTAGCATAGTTTCCATATACATGTTCCATATTTAGTTTCAGTTTCAGTTTAATAAAATTTGTATGCCGCCCACTCCCATTGGGACTCTGGGCGGCTCACAGACAAGAATAAAAAAGCATTAAAAAAAATTAAGATAAGAAATACAATTATTAAAATTAACGCACCATCCATTCTATCTAAGAAGGGCTGGATATTAATCAACAGCCACAGGCCTGCCAGAACAGCCAGGTCTTGGTGGCTTTATGGAAGGCTGGGAGAGTGGTAAGGGTCCGGATCTCTACGGGTAGATCATTCCACAGGGCCTGCGCAGCTACAGAGAAGGCCCTCCCCCAGGGGGCCGCCAGTCAGCATTGTCCGGTCGACGGCACCCGGAGGAGGCCCAACTTGTGCAATCTTATTGGTCATTGGGAGGTAAGTGACAGGAGG